ATTTGGGCACAGAGATTGTCAATTTCCCTATAAGGATTTGCTACCTGATTTCCATTTCGTGTTACAAACAGGTATTTGCTTTCTGGAGCTTACACCAGATATCTACATGTACATGTTTTTTTTAATTTTTTCAATGTAACTCTTCTTACTTACTTCTCAATGACTTTCACTGTTTGTTTGTTGCAAACGACCTTTGCTGATGACCTTTGCTGATCCATACCTGTCTTTCATTTTGTGGACAACAGAATGAATGCAAGCAAATGAGATGCTACATTGAATCATGACCGAGCAGAGCTGTAGGAAGCATTCCTTTTAGTTGCAAGGCTTGAAGCCAGTTTCTTATAAAAATGGCAGCTGAGGGTCCCATGCCTCCAGAGATGGAAAAATGAGTGGTGTTTAAATTTAAATTGTCCTGTTCACCTTGGATTACTCTGTTCACCTAGACTCGAGCCCCTGCGAAAATCGTTGGGGCTATCAGTGTTATCAGTGTTAAAAAAGCCGATCGTAGGCTTGCCAGCCGTGGCTACCATGCCTCTGAGCAAGGTGGATGACCACTTGAGCATATGCGGCGAGGTCCTTGGCCTTTTCATCGGTTGTTGAGATGGACAAAAAGCTTAGAAAGTAGAAGACCTAGGACAGGGGGTCCTCTACCTCTTTTAATTTAGCTTGAGATGAGCTAGTGGATGAACCACCCTCCAGCTCTGCTATCTTGAGCTTTAGGGCGGCGTTATCCAGCATGAGCTCTTTGATTTCTACAAAGAAGCCGGATTTGATCCTCTCCACCACTTTTCCTGAGACGGGTGGAAAGGACGGAGAGACAATGACCGGAGCTGGTGTCTCTCCAGAGCCAAGGGGAGGAATAAGAGAGGCACCGCTTGCCAGAGACTAGTGAGTCTTCCTCAGCTCTGACATAGAGGAGGTATGTGTCTGACGACCACCTTCCCATGAACTTGATGATGTGAGCTGGCACCCCAGCTGCTGCTGCTGCTGCCAAGTGTGTGGATTTTAAGAAGTCACATTCAGTATACTTCTGTATATTATCAGTGATAAATGTTGTTATAACAACACATCTGTATAAACATTGATTGAAAATGAAAACTACATACTCTTGGTCTCCTGATTTTTATATTCCATTAAGCCTCTGGTAGAGCCCCTCGCTTCCTTCCCTGACTGGCCTCGGTTCCATTGTAGTTTAGGTCCTACCAAATTAATATCTGCTACTTCTACCATAAAGCAATTACTAGTTATTACGTTCTATACCACCAAATACCCAATGGCCATCGGCATATCTCCCTCTGTTGTACTTTCTTTTACTGAATTTTGATTCGTCAATTTTAATTACTAAACCTGGTCCAACTATGACTATAGGATTACTCCCATCCACCCATCCAGTTCAGTGCCTCTATGTGTTGGTTTATATTTGTATAATACTGTTGTCATAATGCTCTTACGAGTCACATGACATTAATTAAAATGAAATTGAATTG